GGTGGATGAGAGTATCTCACGATGACTCGAAGTCCAGACTATTTCCTATATTAGTAGGAGTACCACAAGGGAGTGTTCTTGCGGCTCTTTTATTTAGGTTGCATGTGCACTTTTTGCCCCTGCACTTTCCTCAGATAGTAAGCCATCTTTTTGCAGATGATTTAACACTTATTATAAAAAGTGAATTAGAAAAATGCTTATCTGATAATATAAAATACCTTCAATCTCAAGCTAGAACAGTTTTGAATATTCTAGAAAAATTTTCGGATAACTATATTCTTCCAGTGAACGTTGCAAAAACAAAAGCAATGTTAGTTCATAACGTGGTAGTAATCTCAAAACCTGAAATTGAATATAAAGGAATGCAAATTGAGTATGTAACAAATTTCAAATGCTTAGGGGTACATATTTGTGCAAAATTAGGATGGGGAAAATTTATAGAAGATAGACTGCAAAAAGTGAGGAAGTCGTACAACGGCTTGAGAAAACTATTTCATACAATCCCCCAGAACGAGATTAAGATAAGAAGAAAATTATTTCTAGCTTTTTCCCTTCCTCAATTCATTTGGTTATTTTTTTGCTTTTTTCATTTTACTGAGAAACAAAAACAAAAAATAGAACACGTTTTTGGAACAGGTTTAAGGTTGGTGTATTCCCTTTGGGGATATGACGATTTTGCTACCCTTGCGTTAAGTCGTGAACTCTCTATGCGTGATTATTTATTTAAATATTGGATAAGGTTTCAAAATCATTTGGATATATCCCCTGAAGCAGACACTTATAGACAAACGTTAACTGCTTACTTCATTGCGAAATCTCCGTTCAAAACGTATTACAATAGTATGGACTTTAGGAAAAATAGTCGTTTCCCTAATAGACTAGCTGAACGTGCAAAACATATATATCTGGATGTGATATCTTTTATTGATGTTCATAGAAAACAATATGGATTTTTTAAAAAGTCAAGCTTAACTCTAGAATATTTCGTCTTGAAATATTTCTGCGTGAAACCACCGTAAATAAATAAATAAATATGTACGTGAATAAGGACAAAGATTCAAAATCTGATTTTTATGGGTAGATTGACTTCTTTTATCAAATATATATTCTTGTAATGTGCGTATAGATACATGTTCTTGTCAAATGTTAACCTTTATGGAACAATAAACTGAATGTTAAAAAAAAAAAAAAAAATATTTTGACAGTTAGCTCTCGATACCCAGTGTAATGGTGTTATGACATCTATGTATTCATCACATACTGATAAGGTTCTTTTTACCATTATTCTATTGCAAAATCACTTCTCCTTAGGGTACCATTTTGAAAAGAATTTGTTATTCACTTCACAAATATTAGCATGAGAATATATTGTATATAATATGAATTTGTTTTGTGTTTATGGTTATTTTAGCTCGAAGCAATCTACTGCTATGTTAAGTAAGTGTTCTCATAAGTCATGATTTAAAATATAGAGGAAATAAAATAACAACATGAGTCAATGTGGAGAATACAGAAAAAGGAAGTGATATATAATTAATAGCCCGAAAAATTATCATATGTTTTTTTATCAACATAAATGATTGTCAAGTATATATATATATATATATATGATATATTAGCTGTATACCTTTCATTTTGGTATTTGTGCATGACGATATTGTATTAGATTCAAAGTATACTCTTTTCGACATGGCTACATGATAGGGTTTTGAAAAACATCATGGATAGTGATTTCGATCGTTAGATAATAGAAATGAAAGCTTTATCTCTCAGCGATGAAAATGTGTTGAACACTGAAAATATTAACCTACGCACAAACTTAGTAGTGCTATTTACTTCCGAAATCAAAATCGAAATTAGTGGAAACTGTTGAGCAATGTCGGTCACTACTCTCATGCAATAACTGCTAGGTACGTAATGGGATTAGTGAATAAAATAGTTGTGTTGTTACTTATTATGGTTACCTCTCTCTGCATTTGTTTTTGTTCTTCGCAAATTAACAATTGTTAAAATATTGGAAAATGTGGTTATCGTGAACATCACTCAAACTTTTCAAAAGAACTCTCTATAGAACTGCATGGTGGTATCTACTGTAAGAAATTTTCTTTCGTGCAAAAAAAAACCATTGCTATGACTTTTCAAACGTGTACAATATACTGAGATTCGATTACTACAAAAGTTTTTTCGTCAAACCAGGAAGTGTGCGCTTTAGGTAAGTGTTAGCAATTAGTTGTTTTACCTTATATTTCTTATCATATTGATGAAAATCATCAATCCAATCTGAAGAAACAAGAAATTTTAATCAAAAATGTTGTTTGCAATAAGATTTTTCATTAACTTTATGAACTTTGAATTCAAATACCATTTCGTTTTTTCTCATCTGTAGTCACTTCCTGGTTTATCGGGCATGTATTTTTTTTATCGCTTGACTGAGCAATTATTGTATTTGTTCATAAGAATATTTGAGGTCAAGACAACATCATGTTTTATTTGTCGATGAAGAATGACCTTTATTTCTTCTCCAATGATCTCTTTTGACGATGGCATGACTCAAGTTCTTTTTTGTTTTCATAGTTTCAGATTGTATTACTTTTAAGATAAGATGCTGACACTGTTTGTGGTTATCGTTCTCCTCCTCGTTTACAATAGTCAGTGTTTCATGAACGCCACAGCCGATGTTAAATATCATCTAAATAGCAGTTCGATCGGTGTTTTGACATTTACACAAGATAATGCCAATTCACCAGTAAAAATTACTGGTAGACTGACAGGACTTTCTAACAATACTTTATTGGTACGTGTGAAACAAACGAAACAATTCTAATTCTTTTTTCTGAAAATTTCGTACTCTAGGGTTTTCACATTCATGAATTTCCATTAATAGGCAACATAAAAAATTGCACTGCAGCTGGCGGTCACTTCAATCCATATAGTAAGCTCAATAGTCGATTCACAATCACTGTTTGAAATGCCTATTCATCTTGTCCTCTTTTTTTAACAGAAGTCGGACATGGATCTCAAAATGGTACTCTACGTACCCGTCATGTTGGCGATCTTGGAAACATACAGACGAATGCAAACGGTGTAATCACGATTGACATTTCCGATTCTATCATTCAACTGTATAACAATAAACAATCGATTATCAATCTACCCGTGGTTGTGCACGCTGCTACGGATGATCTTGGGCTTGGAACAAGTTCCTACAGTAATACTACAGGGTATATTATAAAACCACTTAGTTGAATTTTGTATTTCTCTGATTCTTCTTTTGACAGAAATGCTGGCGGCCGAGTGGCCTGTGGCAACATTGAGCTTCGAATGAATACATCGGATGGATCGACTCTTCATTCGACCTTCCTAATTACATCGATCACTTACCTCTTTTCACTACTCTTTTCCATGCTACCATGACGAAAGTGTACTCCAGGTTTTCTCTCTAAATAATTTCCTTTTTTTCGTTTATTATTATTATTTTGCTTCGTGTGCATCTTTTTAATGGATGTGTGGTCCTTTTTATCTGAATCTGCAATAAACAAGAAGTGGTACACAATTAATAGTCCTTCGTTCTTTTCAGACCGCTCAATACGATGACTTCTATTGTGTGAAGAACTCATTCGTAAGAAATATCCAATCATATGTATGATAACATATCGATACTGCTATCGCTCGACTTTACACAGAGAAAATCGGAAAACTCAAGAAATGTCTAGATCAATCATTAGCTTATTATGGACGAGCGATTCAATGGAGTTTTGATGAAGTTCTTTTTGAAATCTTGCAAACCATCTCAGAAGGTTCTACATATATCACTAGGGGTATGGCTCTAGATGTGGTTGTGAATATGCGTATTTTCAATGATAAAGTGACGAAACATATTGATAGTAACAAATGAATAGAAAATTAAAGTCGATCAACCAACAATTCACTTGGAAATTATTACCCTTAATACTCAGTTACATTAAGCAGTCTCACTCAGTCAATTTTATCAATATTATGAAAGACTTTACACAGCATTTTATACCTGCACCGTGAAATTTCAATGAATTTGATAAGATATCCTTGATATCTATCACACAACAGTTTTAGAATCGCTGTCATACCGTATCTACAAGATATAAGTGATAATTTTCAATTTAATCATCAAAATTTAGCAATTCTGTGTGCTGTCAATCGTGAAACCACTCTGTCTGATCAATATTGCTCCTTCTTATCTGTAAGGACTACTGAATAACATCAAACATGCTCAAATCATCGAGTACACAAAGTGAAACATTACATTGCAGTACTAGTGATCTTTGGACGATTGTGATTTCGTTTGAGAATATTTCTTTTGATACCAGCTGCTTTTTTTCATTATAAGAACGTCCAAAAGTATATTCAAAGGAGAAAAACCTATGCATATGGCTGAGCGTAGATCTTCACTCTTCTATAATTACATCTTCGGTTGAAAAAAAGCTTTTTTTTTAAATAAAAAAAATCTGATCAACTCGATCATTTTAAAGTGAATTTATTTTATTGAAGCGAATTGATATTAGAGAAAAAAACACGAAAGTAATAGATCATTTCCATATTTTTTTTCTTTCGTTTCTCTTACTTTTCTTTTTTCTTTTTCTTTTTTTTCGTACCCTTATTACTTTTTTTCTTCGCTGCTACGTATCAATACACCTTACTCTTTTTGATTCTCGTCATCATACTTTATATTTATCATTTTTTTTACTCCTCGATATTCCTATAAGTGTGACTCAATACTCAATACAGTAATATTGTTTTGCGTATGATGAAACACTCTGCATGAATAGTATAGCTTTTAGCTTAAATATAATTTTTTTCGACTATGTAAGCACTTTGAATATTACTTTGACTAACATAATGAAAAAAAGAACTATCATATACGTATCTTGGTTTCCTTAAAGTATCTTATCAAGATATACCAATTTGTAAACTTGTTCTATCTTCTATTTTTGATACTAATTAACAAGGAACATAATTCTATTTTAATGAGTAAGAAACAACCAAATAAACAACATGCAATCAGTAATACTGTTACAGAAGCAATAGATTTTATTTATCAGCGCTTACGTGCTGACATTTTTCGTCTTGGTTCCGTTACACCATCTACTTCACATATATTTTTCGTTTTTGGTGCATCCGTATGTTTAATTTATTTAAAGTGAATCGAATTCTTTTAGTTTTATTTTTCTAGGGTGATTTAGCTAAAAAGAAAATTTATCCAACACTTTGGTTTGTAAAAGAAGACAAAAAAAAGAATTTAAGACTTTGTTTGATTTGATTGTTTAGGTGGTTGTATCGTGATGGACTTTTACCAGAACATATTCGTTTTATTGGCTATGCTCGTAGTCAAATAACAATTGAAAAAATCTTTGAAAATGCTGCTAAATATATGAAAGTAAAAAAAGAATTGTTAATAAATAAACAAAAACAAAAACTTATCAACATTAATTAGGTTCAGGAAGATGAACGTGAAATGTATGAAAAATTTGTCCAAATAAATTCTTATATTGCTGGTTCATATGATAATGGAAAAGATTTTGAAAAATTGAATGCTGAAGCTAATAAATTAACAAAACAACAAAGTGCACATCGAATTTTTTATTTAGCATTACCACCAAGCATATATGAAAGTGTTACTGAATTGATTAGTGAACATTGTCGACCAGAATCGTATGATCAAAATTTGATGTAGTTTCGTTTGTTATTAATTATTTATTTTTGTAGACCAGGTTGGTTACGTTTAATTGTTGAAAAACCATTTGGTAAAAATCTTGAAAGTTCAAATAAATTATCTTTACATTTAAGTAAATTCTTTACTGAAGAAGAAATTTATCGAATTGATCATTATTTGGGAAAAGAAATGGTACAAAATATAATGGTACTTAGATTTGCAAATCAAATTTTATCAAGAGTTTGGAATAGAGATTCTATTGCTGCAATTGTTATTGTTTTTAAAGAAGATATTGGAACACAAGGAAGAGGTGGTTATTTCGATGAATTCGGAATTATTCGGTACGACGTCGTTTATTTAAAAATGTTTCAGGAATTATTCTAAGTAAAGTAAATGATTAGTAAATACGGCACAGACTTAGCCAAATGAAATTTTGACAGGTTTCAGGTCTTATTCGTTTAGTATCTTAGCAAAAGTTGGGCGATGAATTTCAACATTGAAGAGATGTCTCTATCAGTTGTGATGAAAATGTCCTAAGAGGAAACATTCTGAAGTATCTGTTCACTTTATATATATATATACTGATAGGATGGAACTTTTTTTTAGTGAGTTTTCACTTTGAATGAAGAAAATCTTCAGAATTTTTGAATTAAATCTCCAAGATACAAAACTTTTAAGGTACGAATTCCTTGTTATAAGTAGTATGTACAGTATGTACAGTATGTACAGTATGTACAGTATGTACAG